TGGACTCTCATTCTGACGGCACCCATTCACTGCAGAGGATCCACTGGTGAGCAAGTGATGCAGTGCTAACTTTCTCCAAATCGGTAAACTCGTCTACATCTTGAATGGATTATGAAACGTTAGTGTCTCATGTTGATAGTTAAAGAAATTCTCTACACCTGAGTAAAAATCCAACTGGATAAAAGGTTTTGCAAAAATGGCTCAGAAAAGTGAAGTATATTGAAGCATTTATCTGTAGATAGACGTGTGTATATATAATGAAATCACATTCATGCATTTTAAACCTGACTACACAGACAAAATACATGATTTATTGAGTTACTTATACAACTCCATCTGAAACAAATAGACGCTGAGATTACATTATTATGGCAAATAATAATCACATGACATTCACTTATATGCGAAATATATTACATTGTTGATATAGATTAGTTTAGTAATGCTTATTTTGACATTTTGATAATAGTCACACAGCTACAAATGAGGAATAACATTTTACCTGCATTCGTTTGTGAAGAAACATATATTTGAATATAAAATGTACAGTCTATCCTCCTGATGACTTACAGAAATGTATGTCTTTTGTGTATGTCCAGTCAAATGCTCTCGGCCTAGGCCTAATAGCAAGTAGCAAATCATCTGTGACCTAAAGCCTCTTATACTTCAAAATGAATGAGCAACATTCTGTTTCAACAGGAAAAACATCAAAGCAGGAAAGAAGACCGAGTTAAACATAGCATCAGATCAGAAGTTCACCTTTGTCAGTCTTTCATGGTGTTTCAGTTTGATTTGAGGCAACTGTTCTTCTAATCTTTCAATCTGCAATAAGAGCAGACACGAGAGAGCAATGTTCACACTTTGTCATCGAGGTAGTTTGAAACTAAATTTGTTTTGCAGTTTCAGTATTAGAGACTGCGGACTGAGTCGAACGTCTCACCCTTTTCACAATGCTCTGTAGTCTCGACTTCAGGGTTTTATTAATAACAGTCATGGGAATACTTCTGGGTCTTGGATTGACTATATTCATAAGGAAAGTGATGGCATTTTTTGTTAATGTAATAAAGATAGAGGGGAAAAAAGTCCAGAAGTTGTCATACCATGCTGGTAGTTTTTGGCCACTTCAAGGACGTACGGCCTGGGTACAAAGAACACGAACAAATGAACACATAAATAGCCAATCCTGAAAATATGACTAAGAAATGATAGCATAATAAACAGAGAGAAATGACCATGGACACACATTAAAGGAACAGTTCACCCAAAACTAACCCTTACCCTCAGGCCATCCGTGATGTAGATGAGTTTGTTTCTTCATTAGATCAGATTTGTATAAATGAAGCATTGCATCACTTGCTCAGCAATGGATGCTCTGCAGTGAATGGGTGCCGTCAGAATGAGAGTCCAAACAGCTTATAAAAACATCACAATCATCCACAACTAATCCACACCACTGCAGTCCATCAGTTAACATCTTGTGAAGTGAAAAGCTGTGTTTTTCTAAAAAACAAATAAAGCATTAACGGTGCTGTATGTAAGTTTTTGACTCTACTAAAGCAGAAAAATACCATAATATGTTTGCAGATATTTAAGAAACATGCTAAGTTAACATACTAGTTTATCTGAAAAACAATGCTACAGTCAGAAAAAAAACGACACGAGGGTGGATTAGAACCCAGAATTCATTTATTTATTAAGTACAGTGAAGCATCTCGGTACTAATTGTGTTTTATTATTAATACGTTTATTATTAATTTATATTAATATAGTCGCTTGCAATGTGGGCAGGGCCCACGTGCGCTGCGCAAACGCAAAATAAAAGCAGCGTTGCAGATAAATTACTAGATATGGCCATGGAAAATATGTATTGCAAAATCATTGCTTTTGTGCGGTTTCATTTATATTTTGCAATTCTTTATTTTTGTTTGCAAAAAACACATTTATTTTTTCTCAATACTTTTATTTTCGTTTGCAAAACTTTATTTTCTTTTGCAAAACTTTATTATTTTGCATATATATGTGGCATTATATTGACTCCATACATAATCCATAATTAATGCTTCCTCCTGTGAAAAAGTCGTCTCGTCTGAATCAGGAGAGAAATATGCAAATATCAAGCATCGTTTACAAGCCAAAACAGTCCTGAACAAATATGCCGTGGATTTTAAAATGAGAGGACAACAGGAGATGGGCTTTTCCACTGAAGGAAGCGTTATCATGGATTATAGACCTGAAGCAATTTGGCCAGAAGCAAATGTTAAAACATCTTGATGGATTTTTCACTTCACACGACATTAACTGATGCACTGGAGTGGTGTGGATTATTGTGATGCTTTTATCAGCTGTTTGGACTCCCATTCTGACGGCACCCATTCACTACACACACAGGATCCATTGGTGAGCAAGTGATATAATGCTACCATTCACTGCAGAGCATCCACTGGTGAGCAAGTGATGCAATGATCAACTACTACAAATCTGATGAAGGAACAAACTAATCTACATCTTGAATGGCCTGAGCGTGAGTTAATTTTCAGCAAATTTTCATTTTTGGGGTGAACAATTCATTTAACCAAGTCAAAAATGTAGTATGTCAGCCATTTATGTAAAATATACTGTATTTCCGCATGTGTGGTTAATGTGCAATATTTACAGCTACTGGCATTTGATGATTTGAGAATTTATTTAAATTGATTGATTAAATTCAGGTGTTTGATATAAGATGGTGACACACTATTTTAATATTTTTTTTAAATATATGTATGCTCTCATGAAAATAAATATGCTCTCATGAATGTAAAAAATTAAATAAATAAATAAAAGTCCCTAAAATTAATTCTAGGGACCAAATATTGGCCCATAATAAAAGAAAGGAAATTTCTGATGCTGCAAATTCCTTTTGATTTTCATTGTTGTCTAAAGCTAAACGACTAAATGTAAAGCTGACACTCGTACATGAACAGATTTAGACCTTTGACACGAAGGAAGGACTTACTTACATGTGCTTGCTGTTTGGTGGCATGCAGGAATGTAATGGAATTAGGCATCCTCGATTGTTTCATATCTACAAATTGATTTAAAAATTATTTCATTTTATACAAATATGGAGCAGATAGTAAAGGTCTCAAACCCCACAGGAAGGTTACGCAAAATACCTTAAGTATTGTCTGAGAAGTGTCAAGCCTGAAAGAATGAGCTAGTATCTGTAAGGAGAGACAATACTCATTTAATACATAGCCTAGATTAAATCTCAACATCTAACCTAAGAACTAGTCAAAAACGCACTTGTCTTATGCTGGTTACTCGGGCTCCACTTGGAATGTGAACCTCCCGGAGAGCTATGATCCTGTTATCTGCTAAATAACAGCTTATGTCAGCACTCATAACACATCTTTTACATTTGCATGTGATTTGCATGTCAGCAAAAATTGTGCAATTATTCAAAGCCATAGTCAAAACTGCCTTGTGCTGTCAGATGCACCTGCTGCTCCATCACAACTGATTTTAGAACAGTGGCCAAAAGGCAAAGCTAATTACTTTTCAGTAATTTAGGATATTTTTCCAATTGTAAAAACAAAGATGGTTACAAAAAGACATTGCCATGGCAACCCCAGGATGCTGACCGCTGTTTAACTGCATTTCAGACAGATTATTATAAAAATTAGACCAACCATTGAGATCAAGCCTCTTGAGGGCAATCCAAACTGCAGCACCATAAACCATAAAACGATATAAAAGTGTATTTTTCATAATTAAAGTCAAAATTAGAAATAAAAATGTAATAATTTTTAATATTAAAAATATTGATTAGTTACTATAACGGGAGTTGTAGAACAACTAGAATAGAGTACATTTCTAAAATAAAGCGCAGATTAACAGTACAAAAGTCAATAACTTGAGTTTTAAAATCGGTGCCAATTAAGTAAAATAAAAAAGAATATATTTATAACTGAGTGCGTAGATTCAATCAATAGAGAAAAATACAAAAAGCAAAGGCAAAAAATCTGCCCACCAAACAAAATGCAAAGTTCAAGGTCCTTTGAACAAAAATGTATTCCTGAAGATTTACATAAAGGTGACAACAAAAGCTAAAGTGCACAAACAAAAAAAGTGAAGCTGACTGAGCTTTTGAAGGATGATGAGTTTTGTGAATTATGTATTACAAGATTGCGTTGTTTATGTTGTTAGATTATTATTTATGCTTTTAGGAGTTTTGTTCCAGTAAAGCAACATTTAAAAGCTTTGACTTGTACAAGCACATCATAATGTTCTTGTTTTGTTTTTAATTTCTTGATTTAGCGGTTTTATCTGTACGTATAATGCGATATCGTTTTCCTTAAAAGTTTGTGTTTACTTGTTTGTTTATTAGCACCAAATTACGCTATGTGAGCTATTTTAGTCGTTTTGCTTGCTAAAAATGTTTGCGAAAGACTTTTATTTTGAAAAATGATCCGAGCGTCACCGTTCTCAACGTCTGTCCGTTCACACGTCACTGCTGTGGAGTAGAGACGCAAAGTCCGATTCTTTTCCGCGAACCGGTTCTTTTCGGACAGTTCGGCTCATTGAACCGGTTCAACAAGCCGATTCATCGGTTCCTGGCGTCACTACGCATTTCTTTTCTGATAACTCAGTGCCATGTTGTATTCAAGTCCTCGGCAGTGCAACTCACTCGTCGCTACTTCGGCTGTGCGTCCTGCATCATCAACCCGGAACTAAATTTCGATTCGGTTGTAAACCGGCTCAACCGGTTACTTCCTGAGAACCGGCTCAAAAGAACGATTCGTTCAAGAACCGAACATCATTACTGTGGAGGACGCGCTCGAGACTCAACTGCGCTGGATTTGGGATGTAACGTTAGTGAATAAATGCGTCGTTTGTTGGAGCAGCGTTTATTTTGCCTTATGTTTTACTGAACGTAGCTGTGAAAGAGAGAAAGTCGACACAACAACAGCAGAATGAATGAGTCCGAGGGACTGCGGTTCAGGAGGTTGAACAGACCTCAGATAATTACAGATGAAACCCACGAACCACAGTACAAAACCACAAGGTAAGACAGCTTCGGGAAACATTCATATCTGACCCTGGGCCTCAAACCCATCTGAAAGCTGAAGAAATAAGCTTTCCATTGATGTGTGGTTTGTTAGGATAGGAAAATATTTGGCTGAGATACAACTATTTAAAAATCTAGAATCTGAGGGTGCAAAAAAAATCAAAATATTGAGAAAATCATCTTTAAAGTTGTCCAAATTAAGTTCTTAGCAATGCATATTACTAATCACAAATTAGGTTTTGATATATTTACGGTAGGACATTTACAAAATATCTTCATGGAACGTGATCTTTACTTAATATCCTAACGATTTTTGGCATAAAAGAAAAATCTATCATTTTGACCCAAACTATGTATTGTTGGCTATTGCTACAAATATCCCCCAGCGACTTAAGACTGGTTTTGTGCTCCAGGGTCACATATATGCACTTTTAACTTAATTCAATTTAAATTGTGTAAAATGTGTCCCCTTCAAATGAATATACCGGACTTCTATGCTGTTGTTTGTGTGTTTCAGCTCTTACAGTGGGAAGGTGTTTCGTGTGACATTACTGACATTAGTGGCTTTCCTGCTCTTCCCTCTGCTGGTGGTCGTCTTCCTGTTGGAGTCTCCCATTCAACCAGAGGTGTTCAGGTGAGCGTTCTGCTCTCATAATGATCTACACCTTGACCATGGACTGGCTTGAAATGGAAAACACACAAGCCACATGGTATTTCAGATATTCAGGGTTTCCTTGGTCATGAAAAGACCTGGAAATTTAAGGTTATAAAATGTATCAGACTTTGAAAAGTCATGAAAATATTTATGGGGAGTGTAAATGTTCCAGTTACACTTTGCTCTACTCGGATAGAAATTACTACATGATTAATTTGTGGAGTAAAGCATGTACAAGGATATTACTCATGCAGCAATAAGCGTGAATGTGCATGTAATGATGCATGAGGGGTTGCATGGAGGAGTACAGTTGGGACATTGTGTCATACCGTGTTCCTCTCATACCGTGAGTTATAGTCACTGGTCCTGCTCAGTGTTTTATTGCTAAATGCCGGTTGTATGTCTTATTACAAGACACCAAAAATAACTTCCTGTAAAATTCTGTTGCCAAGCTGGAAATGTTGCAATCCAACATACAGAAAACGATTTTTAGACTAGAGGTAGTTGATATAAATGAAGTTAAACCTAGTATGCTGGTTTGAAAAGATGGTGTTACTCTTGAGGTTACTCAAGAAAATTAAAAAAGAATTTAATTGACATTACAAATAATTGTCTGTACCTCACACAAGACAGAGGACTTTAGAAGACTCAGCATATGGTACATGAGTTTTTCTGCTAAAGATCTTCTTTTGTGTTTCACAGAAGACCGAAAGGAATAATATGTGTGAGAGGAAGTGAAGACACAATTTTCATATTTGCATGCACCATTTCTTTAATGCTGATGGAAAACCTCTTTAATAATTCCTTTCCATCCAATCCAATTTATTTATTTTGGTTCTGATCTGCTGCCGCAATGTTCTTGACAAAATCCAATATAAATATTCATCTTAAGCCAAGTCCCAAGCTTTAGTTCTGACATGAATAGTTAATAATTGATGCCTCTGCGGTTGATATGTAGGGCATTTCATCTCCTGCAGGCTTCTCCCGTAAGAACACCCTTCAGTTCAGCACAAACATCTCCTCAACGTCTGAACATGAGTTTTGACGAATGTCTTCTTTGGTTTATTTTCCCCCTCTTGTTTAATAATTAGTCTCGGTGAACCACCTCTGATGACTGGCTGTTACGAGCCCAACCTAAAACTCAGACAGGCAGAGCGACTGTTCGAGGATGGGCTTATCGGCCCAGAATCCCTTGCTAACATTGGAGGTCAGTATTTACAATGCAATTCAGTCAAAGCGTGACCTTTCACCCAGTTTGTCCCAGCTGTTTGGCAGTGCGCACTGAGGAGTAGGACAGGCCAAACTAGATGAAAGTTGAGTTGTCTAGGACTGTGTGATTGATTAGGTATTTTTGTATTGCGTGCTTGCACACTCTGACAATATGAAGATCTTAAGATATAAACGTATTAAAAACAGAAAGACTTAAAAAAACAAGAATGGTTCATTTAGAAAATGTTATAACTAAATATAAATAATTAAAAATATTTGTATATGGTATGCATTAATGACCGCATGTAATGTTTCTGAATCATTCTTGTTTTGCAGATGTTTTGTACACTGGGACGGCTGATGGAAAGATCGTCAAAATCGAGGGAAGGAGCATTCATGTGTTAGCAACACTTGGCAAGCCACCATGTGGTAAGAAAACCAGAAATACTGGATTATTTCCTTTGTAATGTGGGATTTCGACATGAGTGACCTTGGTGTTTGAAATGCTCGGGTCCATGGTTTTGTTGCACAATCCATGAATCTTTGTAACTTTTAGGAAACTGTAAAGGCTTGTTCACACCGGGACGAATATCGCGCACAATTATCGCCAACGTTTAACGCCTCATGACTAAAAAAGTGCGCCAATGTGAGTGTGCACACCGACGCGCAAAACGCGAGGCGTAAAAGCGTAATTTTTTAAAAAACGCCTCGGGCTTGTTTTTTTGGTTTGACGCGCCGCGTTAAAAACTGGCCGACCAATGAGATTGGCGCTTTTGTTCACGTGCCTGGAGCTGCTGAAGTTACAGTAAAACACAACTTGGTGGTGCTCAAGCACAAAACGGTCTTGCCGAGCACACATTGATACCTAACGATGAAGAGGAAGTAAGTAGACCAAGAAGATGCATCGAGGCAAGATGAATGTAGAGCTGCTGGTCTCATTGGTGTCTGAACACAAAGGGCTTTATGACAAACGCGACAGCGACTACAAAAATCGCGATAAGAGGGAGTTGTTATGGAGAGGAATTGCAGATCAAATAGGATTCGATGGGTATTTCGGGGCGCCATCTAATGTCAGTGAGTGAATTTGCACGTTCACTCGGCTCATCGCCTGTGAAAATCGCTTCGGTATGAACACAAAAGATGCGTCGAAAAACGTTGGCGATAAGAGCGCGATAATCGTCCCGGTGTACGAGGTTTAACATTAACATTTGTAAAAGAAAAAACGTAAATATAACAAATTATGTTAGAACAATTTGTTTTTTTGTTTTTTTTTTTGGTGGTCATTTTTACCATTTCCAGATACTTGTTTTATATGTATTTATATATGTTGAAATTATGACCACCATATGAATTATAACTGGTGTGTGTGCATGTATAAAATAAAAATTATATATTAAATATATATATTGCCATTGCTTATTTAAATCTGTATTTTTATTTAATTTTTATATTATTTATTTATATATTTTGTATATACTATTATAGTATTTATTCATGTTTTGACTAATGTTTTCCACTCACACACACACACACACATATATATATGTTTTGTTAATTTATTTTGTTTTTCACTGGTGCATTACATTAATGCATGTGAAGTAGATGACATGCAGTAATGTAATGTAACATTAAAGCCCTGCATAGAGATGTTTGAATGTTTTATGAAAGTATAGAGTATAGTATTATGAAACTGTGAAAGTATAGTTTTATGGCAGTAGGAGAGGCATCTGATACAGTGGATATGCTCGTTCCTTTAGCCTGGTTGTGTTGTAAACTGCTGACACAGTG